CTTGTGGGGGGGTTAGGATGTTCCTTGGCCCTCTTCCCCTACCCACGGGTGGAAGGGAGGGCAGAGTATTAAACTTGAAGGCTCTGATCATGCTCCTGTTTACACAAATTTGCTGGAAATTCCTAGTGTCTTCCAGCATAGCACCCCATCTTTATCTGCTAGGTACATTCCAATGGTTCGTGGACTCCAGCAAACCTTGGGTATGAAATTATTTTTCCCCTTTTGCTAATGGTCTCTTTTTAATTTAGATATTTCTATGTATGCTGTCTTGCGAATTACATCAAGCGATAAGCCCTTTATGATGCACACTTGAAAATTCAAGGAAGCGACTGCTTTCTTGGTTTAGCTTCTATGTAGTGATCTGTTGAATTTATTTATATCAAAGCATGTGAATGCTATATGCTCTCTTACTCTTTTACTTGATCATCTGTCAGTTTCAATCTAGTCTTTTCCCCTGAAGCCCTTGTTCTTTATGCCTACTCAAACTTGACTGAACCCTTTGTCCTGTGCAGTATCAGTGTTAATGAAAAGACAAACTGCTGAACAAGTTAATTCAGATGGAGATATCATTAAAGAGAGTTGCAGTGAGAGAGAAAGAAGCTCGTCTGACCACTGTAGCACACCTGGTGTACCCAGTGGAAACTCATGTTCTTCTTCGAGCCAAAACTTTGAAGTTCTCAGTTCAAAAACAAATGAGCATTCCAACGGTTTTCCTATGGAGGATACTTGTAACACCTTGGTGACTTTAGGTGGTCAACGTACCAAAACAATGTGCGGCAGTGAACCAAAGAAAAAGGCAAAAAGGAGCTCTCAACTCTCATTGAGGTCATTTTTCCAGAAAAGTTCAATCCCTAGCAATGGTGTCGGCAATGGTACTGATACTTCAATTAATCAGATAGATGTTCCAGATTCTAATCATCTGTCAAATGAAACTCCAATACCAGAGAATCAAAGTGGCAGTCCCAAGCAGTGTGAATTGAACTCAAGTGCATCAATTGAGGATCAGGATGAAGTAGATGTCTGTTCTTTGGAGAAAGAGAAGAATAATTTTGCTCTAATGGAGTGGCAAAGGTTGCAGCAAGTCATGCAGAATAGCATACCACTTTGCAAGGGCCATAGGGAACCCTGTGTTGCTCGGGTTGTGAGGAAGCGAGGTGCTAATTTTGGACGCAGGTTTTATGTCTGTGCTCGTGCTGAGGTACGTTTTTATTTAAGAACTCAAATACTGCTATCAGCAAACACATCGCTCCTTTCCTACCATGTTTTAGTTTTCCACTATTTTGTATGTGTTCAATTCGACCCATTGGTGGCTTCACCAAAAATGAAAAATAAAATTCAACCCAAACATATTCAGGTTCAGTTGATGCTGTAATAGTAGAAAACATCTGATAAATTTGCTGCAGTTCCATCAACCATGCAACTATTTTCCCTTTGGTAGTTAGAACTCAGGACAGAAAAAGCCACAAGCTGTGCAATCTGTTGTTCTACCCCCATTTTCCCTTTAAACCTTTGGGCGTTTGACGATTGATTGAAAAAGAGAGATGGTCTTCAGATTATGCATCTGTGTTTCATATGATATATGAACTAACTAGTGGCATTTTTTTTCCTCCATACAGGGGCCTGCATCTAACCCTGAAGCAAATTGTAATTATTTCAAATGGGCTGCTTCAAAACCTCGACAAAAATGATGATCACTGATTCAGGTAATATGGATGTCAAGCTGTTAATTTCCTGCCTACCCTAAACTTAGAGATGGCGCAGTGCCGGCCATCTCAGTTTAGGAAATTTTGTGATCAAAATTATTCTTCTGGGAATCGAATCTCTCAGGCATAAGCTCCTGTGTTGTATTATTAGCTGTTTAACGTTATTCATTTCTTTGTTCAGTGAATTGATCGCAGTGCTCCACGAAACAAATATGTTTTCAAAAATATGAAAACTTTTTATTTTTTTTATTTTTTTATAAATTAGTCTTGGAGGAGAAATTCAGACTTGAAATATCTCCCCACATTGAGAAGATATTATCTACCACTAAACCAAGAGTTAGTCGGTAACTAGGTATCAACAGTGATGCAATATAGATCATCTATATCTGAACCAAAAAGGGTTAGCACTCTGATTGGACATAGAATGTCAAATTTATTGTTGTGCTGATCTTTCTTTTCATAACTTCAACATAAACATCCAAACTTTGATTGGCAAATCATGGTGGCTGCAACATAATCAGTAAGGAAGGAAGGAATATTAAATCTCGTTTCAGCATCAAGAACGAATGGTCACAGAAGATAACTTAATTATATTATATATAAAAATAAATAAAAAAATCGAAAGGTTAAAAAATAACTTCTTCCATACAAATACCAATCAACAAGGCTGATAGTTAAGTGCAGTGATCGTAATCGAGGACAAATTATGGTAAAAGAAAAGCATATAATATTAGAATGATAATGTGAAACACATCAGCACTGCATGATAAACCCTCAACTTGATTAAAGATAGGTTTTACATCATTATCAGGATCAGAGACTGTTAAGTTAGATTGTCTAACACAACACTAAAAAGTCAAGGACATGCAAAAGTTGAATGACAAGGTTTTACGGCCACAAGAAGCAAACCTGTCCTTCTCAAATGATGCCAATAAGGATTAGGCCTTACCCAAAGCTTTGCTTCTCGGGAGAAGAAGAATGATGTAAAATCATGTGGATTTTAATTTTCTTTGATAATATCAACTATGCAAATTTCAATTTTCATTTACTCAGTTACGTGTCGTTTTGTTATTGAGGTGTTGTTATATCATGTGATTGTTGGTAATATATTAGAACCGTCGAAACTAAGTCGTTTTAGTGGATTGATGATCGGTGTCATTTCATTATTGATGTGTTGTTGTACCATGTATTTGTTAATAACATAGCAGAATCGTCGAGTCAAAATCATTTTCGTAGATTGATTATCGGCGTTCAGTGTCGGCCTCACAATCCCCTCCGTAATCCAACATTTCTTAATCAGGTCCACACTTGTTCTCTGTCTAGAATGGCTTGATGTGGAAAAGCCGTTGGTTTAAAACCAGAGGCTCAACTGAAGCATCAATAGATTTTGTCTGTTTTGATGTGAATATGTTGTTTGAAGTTATATGTGTTTATGTTTCTGTGAATTCAATTCCAATTTCCAAATGGTTGGAACTTGGAACAACTTGGAGGAGGGTCTTGTTTGTGTTAACAAATGATAGTAAACAAAGAAGAAGAAAAAAAAGAATTATACAGCAAGAACAGCCAAGATTTGAAGGAGGGTTTTGTGATTTTGTTTGACATTGGACAACACTTGGCCCTTTGTAATTATACGAGAGACATTTGGAATAATGTACTCTTTTATGGACCCTAAGTTGCAGCGGACTTGGTCAAGTGACTCTTGCTTGCCGAAAAGGCTACCAAAATTCACATGCATTATATATTATTTTATTCTGTGATCACAATAATCTACCTCCTTGTTTATATCTTCATAAATAAATCCAGAGTAAAGTTGTGATTCTCTGAAGGGAAGGGATTGTCTCAATCAAAGTACTCTCAGTGAAGGCACGCTTCTTGTGTGACTTTTTAAACCTTTGAATTCTGAGGCAATTAGCTAAAAGATCTAGGGAAAATAATTTCATCCAGAAAAAAAAAAGAAGAAGAAGAAGAAGAAGATGATGAAGAAAATATCTAATGGAAACTAGTGGTTCCAAATGACAGCCAGCACTTGTTGGGTCCCTTTCCAACACTAGTAGATCTTGCGTGAAAGGTTTTTAGATTCTTTCAGGACTTTTGCAGGCCAAAAAACACTCAAGCCTTTTGCAAATGGGTTGTATTCAATAATTCTTGGGGTTATTTTTTTTTCTTATAACAGAAGTATATATAATCTTCTAATACACAAACTAAACTGAGATATTAAAGATTAATTAAATTTTACTTGAATTGTTTTATTGTCCACAATAAAATATCTTCACAAATGTGTTGGGATATTATTGGGCTCCATTCTAGCTCTACAGTTAAGTGGGAGGGTTTTGTTATAGTAGATAGGAAAGAGCTCAGCCTTTCTTCCTTATAGTTTATAATATGACATATGCGTCGACGTTTTTCTTTCTGTGTTTTTGATGAAATACCTTTACACATGTGTCAAATCGTGATTCACTGAAAAGGGAAATATTTCCTTCTAGAGAAGAAGGCAAGCAATATCCTCCATATTATTGGGATTATTAAAGTGAACATGGGATTCTCTCTTTAGATGGACTCTAATTATTAAAAACTTAAGCATCAATTCATCCCCCTAGAATTTAAAAGGATAATGTGGTAATTTTAAATAGTGTAGTAGGTTATTTTTGAAGAAGAAAACAACTACCAGAGAATTCAAATTCCCTTTATTATACTAGTGCAGATAGAATATAATCAAGGGAGTTTCATTAAAACACCCAAAATAGAGGTTGAAATTATAAAAAAAACCAAACACCCAACACTTTATAAACACACCCAAAAAGTTGTCTTTGGGGTTGATTTTGGGTGTGTTTCTATGTTTAAATAGTGCTTGAGTTTTTTTATAAATACATGTCTAAGATTGGGTTTATTTATAAATTTGTATATAATCAAATGGTTAGTAAAGTCTAAAGCTTAGAGGGAAATAGTTATCAGCAATTGGAAACATTCTATAGGTTTAGTGGAACATATGGATAGAATATAGAGGAAAGTAAGGAGTACAAATAGGAAATTCACAACTGCTTAAATTCAAAGACAAGATCATGACCATTAGGTTTTTTTGTTTCCTAAAGAATATACTTCGCTTTATGGATATGGTTGAGTAACTTTTTCTATATCCTTTTGCTTTATTTATTTATTTATTAATAACTAACCTCCACCAAAGCACTATTAGTTATCTGACCAGTTATTAGGTTTTTGAAGTGTCATGAATGGTGTTTTCTAGGTTGGTTTAGGTGACAAAGACAGATGTTAACTTCTATTTTGATAAAATGAATTGCTTATCTTTGGAGAAAAGAAATACTCTTTATCTCTGTGGTTAATATTGATTTTCAAAATATAAAAAATGAACGAATAACATAGGAGATAATATAGTAGTATGTGTTGCTAACGAGGTCTAATCCAATGAAAAATGGCATTGATTGCAGATCAATAATTTCAAGTTCGAACTTTAAATCAAGTTTTAAATGCACTTCTATATATATGACAAAATGCAACAACATTAATTGGATCTAACATTTTAAATATGGGTGTAAATCGACTTGATACATTGTATCAGTATTGAGTTTGGCTTGAATGAAGTAATTAAATTATGAGGGAGGGAAATGCAACCTTATCAAAGTTATGGAAAAAGACTAGTCCGCAAACCTGATATACAACTCATCCACCGCCATTTGTTATCAAGTTATGACCACCGAAATTTTAAAAATAAAAATAAAAATTTATTACTGGATAAAATGTTCTGAGGAGTCGAGTCAGCATCGAACTCAGCCAAACTGGATAAGCATTTTCTTAGACTAACCAAACACCATATTTAACCATAGTTAATCTGGCACAACCCAAATCCAAACCCGAACCCAAACACCCCCAAAACTCCCCAACATAAAAGGACAAACAACCCCCCTCCCACCCTCTCTCTCTCCCTCAATCAAAAACTCACAACCGCAAACCAAAACGCACCGTACCATGCTCTCTGCTTCGACCTCGACATTCTTCGCCGCTCCAATTCTCTCCGCCACCCCTCCCCCTCCCAAAACATCGACACGCGTACATTTCAGGCCAATAAGCGCCTTCGCCGCCGGTTCCACCTGCACCTCGGACGAGACAGCTACGGCGTCGTACCTCGGCCCTCAGAAGATGACCTCGCTGTACGAGATCCTCGGCATCCCGGCGGTCGCCACGTGTCAGGAGATCAAATCGGCGTACCGGCGATTGGCTAGGGTTTGCCACCCCGACGTGGCGGCGATCGAGCGCAAGGACACGCCGGCTGGCGAGGTCATGAAGATTCATGCTGCCTACCCCC